CCATATCTCCATCCAAATCGTGGAAGAAAGTTTCCGTCAGCCAAACGCCAGGGTATTCCTGTATAGGCACTGACTCAGCTACCTCCTTTTCCTGCACTTTTCAACTGAGATCTGGTCGCAACACGTAAGGGGAAGATTTCCAGAAATGTCTCCTCCAGAGAATGAATTTCTGGCTCATCGATAGGTTCACTAGAGACAATAGGGGATGCTGACACGTTTACCGCCACGTTGTTACCTAGCGACAAGCTGACACCTATCATGTATAAGCTTGTAACACATCCAACAACCGCAGGGCCAGCGGAACAAGTCACTCACATTGCATTGAACTCTGTGATACGGGACATGTATAGTTACCGCCAATGATTCAAGATTTTTGCATTCATCGAACTTTCTGGAGACAGTGACGACATGATCGGATGATCACGACACTTCACCTTGATACACAGAATCGTTGTAGAGAGGAAGATCATCGGCTGAAATCGGTCATACCGGACTTCTCATGAAGCAGATTTTCTGGACGACTAGGAGTTTGGCGTCTGTGACTGCTGTCGCTGGTTAGGGCGATAAACGTGAAGGACTTTTTAAGCGCGTGTGAGGGGCAGTTTTGTTTTCATCTCGAGGGGGGCACATTAATGACCGCGAGAGCGGCACTTTTGTGGCCTGGGAAAATCGGGGGAGGCAAGTGCAAGTGAATCCCACCCAAATACAACCCAAATCAGGCCGAACTCTAAGCCAAACACCCACTTTCTTCCCCAACCGCCTCCAACCCCCAACCTTACCCCCACTAAAACATTCCCAGCCCAATCCAGACGAAGAACCCTAGCCCCTTTCTAACCCCTTCCCAAAAATCTAAACCCCCAAACCCCTAGCCAACCCAAACCCTAACCCAACGTCACCCCAGTTTCACTACCACCGCCACCTTCATCCTTACGTCCACCCCGACCCCACGAGACCTGAACCCAATTTTAAAGCCTTAAAACAAATATGACAAATGCAGCCAACGCTGAATTCAGTATTTTATTTTATTTTTAACCCACAACCAATGCAAATTGCATATAAAACCATCATGAGCCAATTCAAATGCGCATTGTATTGAGTAACCGTTTTTGATTCACTGAAAAGTAACACCTATATTATTTGGGAGCTAAGGAATCGATGAAATCTGAATAGGCCAATAGAATGCGACAACATAAAACAGACAAAACCCGGATAATAAGATGCAAAATGTCACGCAAATTTCCAAAACTCATTTTCCAAAATCGTAAAATCGATTTCGTAGATGCTGAATTGAAGTATGGATAAAGATGGATATCTGTAAACGCACAATATACTGCAATAATCAAAGTAATTATTTATCTTCAAGTTCTCAAAACGACAACAGGGCCGTTTGCACATCATTATATAAATTCCAATGACATTATTACTCATAACGAAATGCATGTACCATAACCTATTTGGAATTTGTCTGCTTAATCTTTGTAAAATGAAAGCAAAACATCTGTGCACAACAAAGGAAGGCGTTTTGTAAGGTTTTTAATGTAATAAGAAGACATTAATGTCTACCACGGTTTGATTATCATTTTGCTGATCATTTGACAGTAACGGTCAGTTTGTATCTACATGATTGAAATTGACCTCATGTCTTTAAGTAAATCAAAAACACACCCTCATTTCATGTTTCCACACCACAGTTTAACGACCCCGTATCATACTAAATGACCATCGATTTATCCAACCAAATGTGTAATGTAACTTTGTAGGATACTGTGACCAATTCTCTCAATGTTAGTCTGTCCGAATTTACATTTCTCGCCGATTGAGAATTGAAAATAAAAAAAATTACGAGCCACCTGCAGTGCATACAACTGTGTGTCCATCAGAAAACGAGTAAACTGTCTTCACTTCTGATCATAAATTGTGCGCAATTGAGCTTGGCATCTGGTTTATATGGGCTAATAAGGGGATAATCTGAGTAAGAAAGCAAACACAATAAACTAATACGGATACCATTTGTGAACCCATAGAGTATATAGGAAATACGTAAATACACTGCAATAATAATTAATCCTCAAGTTCTGAAAACTGGCGATAGGACCATTTGCACATATATTTTTTTAATCCGATGACAATATCACTCGATAAACGTAATACATTATACTGGGACATAATTGTGTATCTGTCTGCCTACTCTTTGTCAAATAAAAGCACAACAAAGACAGACGTTTCTAAATTTGTCATTGTAATAAGAAGACGTTATTGTCCACCACGTATTGATTATCAGTTGTTCATCATTTGACAATGATGTTCAATTTGTATCTGGATGATTGCAAATGATCTCATGCCATTAAGTCTAACTAATTCTTTTTAAAACCACAGCTCAACAACCCCGTATCATACCAAATGACCATCGATTTATCAAAACAAATGTGTAATGTAACTCTGTAGGATACTGTGACCAACTCTCTCAATGTACCCTACTCTCTCAATGTAAGTCTGTCAGAATTTACATTTCTAGCCGATTAGGAATTGAAAATGACAAATTTTACGAGCCACCTGCAATGCATTGCTTTGTTTGACTAAAACTAAAATTGTGTGTCGATCAGAAGACAGTAATTTTCTTCGGGTCTGATCATAAACTGTGTGCAGTTGAGCTTGGCATGACATTGTGGTATGGGGTAAATGAGGGGAAATCTGAGTAAGATAGCAAAAACACTAAAATATAATAAAATACGGATAACATGCGTGAATACATAACGTATATGAAATACGTAACTACACCGCAATAATGATTAAACTGATTAACAGTCCTTAAGTTGTTAAAACTGACTATAGGACCATTTGCAAATCATTTTTTTTCATTCCGATGACAATATCACTCGAAAAACATAATACAGTAAACGAGAACATATTTTGTATTTGTCTGTTTAGTCTTTGTCAAATAAAAGCAAAACAACCTTGCAAAACAAAGCTAGACGTTTCTCAAGTTGTTATTGTGATAAGAAGACATTATTGTCCACAGAGGATTGATTACCATTTGTTTATCATTTGACAATTATGTTCAATTTGTATCTGGATGATTGCAAATGATCGTATGCCTTTAAGCAAAACAAAAAAAATACACCCACATTTTAGGTTTACAAACCACAGCTCGACAACCCCGTATCATACTAAATGACCATTGCTTTGACAAAACAAATGCATACTTTTTGTTTGACTAAAACTGAAACTGTGCGTCGATCATATGACAAGTAATTGTGTGATCGTCATCTGTGATCATTAATTGTGTTCAGTTGAAATTGGCATGTGGTTCATACAGGGTAAAACGAGGGCAAAATCTGAGTAAGATAGCAAAAACACTAAAACAAAATACGGATAACATGCGTGAACACACTGGTAAACAGGAAATACGTAAAGTTTGATCTCTATATACGGCTGAGGCAAGGGCAGATCCAGAGCACAAATTTTTTTTGGGGGGGCCAAAAAAAATGTGGTCCCAGAAAAGTGGGTCAAAAAAATTACGGCGTGGGGTTCGGAGCCTTTCCGGGGGAAAAATGGATTCCAGATGCTCTGTGGTTCGATATGAGGCAATTTTTGACCACTTTAACCAATGTTCTTTGAGGAAAAGATGGTGATGTAATCATTGTCTGCCTTTATTGCGAAGTCACATAAAAAAATGGTTTCGTGGTTTTTTCTTGGGGGGGGGCATGCCCCCCTTTGCCACTCCCTCCCCCGGATCCGCCCTTGGGTGAGGTTAAGTGCTCTTCTGCGGTTTTCCTCCCACCTCTAAAACTGTACTATTTTACTATCAATGTCTTCTCTCTACAGGTTTCTTCAGGCTTGAAGCTTCAGTGCCTAGGGCAATTTTGAGTAATCCTTGGTGACATTACGAGAACAAAATTATAATAATGATACTACACAATGTGTATCCCTCTATCCATAATGATAGAAAACACTCAGGAAAAGAACATTATTAAATTTTCAGAATGATTTTATAAGCAACAGACGCATGATACTTGAATTAATGCTATTGTAATGGGCATTTTTTTTTTTACCAAAGACCGCAGTCGAGGAACACTCCTTCATGGCTAATACGATCCACGATTCCCTCAAAAGAGCAATCGACTATAGGCAGTATTTCTTAAACCATATCGAGTCATTCTATTCCTAAGAGCTCATACAAAATGTTAATATGAGCTCATACAAAATAGCGAGGAGAACTACCTTTGTACAATAATACAAGGTATGCGGATAAAATACGTGCAATCCGTTAAACTACCTCCCTATGATATGAGCGCTGTGAAATTCTGATACACAATTGCCTCAATTCATATAATTATATATGATCTGGCGAATACTACCAGATAACAGAACATTATCAAGTGATCTGCTGTTTGAATACAATAATAACAATTAATAGCAATTGGGAAATCAAAGCATAAAACATGACTTCAGATCACCCCGCCCAACTCAGTATCAACACTGCCTGGCCATTGTCGAGGTCGTAAATCAATCATTAGTTTTCTCAAAACACTGTTCTATAAATGTCTACTTAGTTTAATAATGAAACAAACTGTATCACCATTAGTAATGATTGATATTATATAATGTAATTAATTCTACGCACGTACAGCACTAAAAAGTATCTTTGATATCCCATCCACCGATATTTACTTTTAACGTAACCTTCATTTACGTTTGTTGATTACAACTTGTTTTTCTGGGTAAATAATGCAGAGGTAACAATTTGAAAGCTGATATGCTGGTCAAAAGTGTCCTGATTAAACCATCAGCTAAATATGCGAACTTTGTCTAAAGAAGACAATGTCAGATTTTTTTTTTTTTAAATGGAAGTTTCTTGAAATGTTTAACGCAAAGTCATGTAATAATTCCTTGCATTAATTTTAATTTTCCAGTTTAGAATACAGCGACCTGCTTTCAAGTAATCAAAGGGATACAAGTATCACTTGCAAGAAATGTGTTCCATTCGGCTTTACCAAATAGCTGTTAACGTGCAGTGAACGGATGGGGCGTCTAGTTGACCATGGGATTGCGCACCACACGACCTGCTGGGTTGACCTGATGAAATAAAAAAGGACCGCTAGTTAACATAGATTTTGATATCCATAGACAGTTAATACAGTACCACTCAGAACCTTTGTGTAACCTTTACTCCCAGACTAATGGTTTCCGGTGTCTTTAAGTGACTGTAACTGCATTGCCTTCATGATGAATTAAACAAAATTGATCTGGATCTGAATCTGAATCTGAAGCTGCAAATGACCAAGTACAATTGCATATACTTTTGACTCAGACTAAATATTAAGGCGGGTTTGACATGCCTCATAGTCATTCAGTGTGGGGAAGGTTGTTCGTCCTTGAACGCAGTAGACATTGACGTTGACTCAAACTAACATTTTGAAAATAGTTCCCGGCTTTGCATATTTATGTGGAACAAGTGCTGAAACAACATTTGAATGACCCTTACATGAATGTAAGGTTTGTAAAGTTATGGGGATCTTTCGGGAAGTAACCAATACATGAACACAGATCGGGAAAATAACTTCAAATGTTCACATTCTAATCAATCAATCCTTCCATCAAATCTTTGATGAATTTTTCCCAACACATACACGTACATAACATTTGAATTATTTTTTATGGATGGATGGAGGTCTCAAAAAAGCATGAGCTTGTCGAGTGGAGACCCCAATGTATGATTACAATTACAGGTGCATCGAAAGACGTTAAATAACACAACAAACAAATTTAATTCTAATTTTGGATCTTCTCGTACTACATACTCGAGACCATAATGTAATGTCTATAGGAACGTAATGTACATGTACTGTGCCGTATGATATACAAATATCAGATTGAACATATTTTTCAAGTCGTAAGACATTATGGAAACCAAGAAAATGATAACAAAACAAATACACAGAACCGCGCTGGCTCTCTTGTGGACGACATACCACTGTCTATTGATTTGCTACGAAGTCTGTCGAGACGTCGACCTGAATGTCCGAAGTTTGTTTCCATTATTGAGTCTATATCTGAACTTTCAAAATAATTCGTCAGCTTGAAACTAGGTATACTCACGGAACCATCCTCACGATACAGCCCTTCAATTCCTGTAGCCATGTAGGGTAGGACAAACTCCTCTCGAGCAGACAAGTTCTTCACAGAAATAGAGTGGGAAAAGTAAAGTCAGCACCTATTAGGCCAAACAAAATTACACTGCAAGATTAACAGTAACTATGTTAAGACATATTCCTCACCCCTTGCAAGTAGCGAGACCGGCCCATCACGTGCATCAAACGCCTCATCCTAACCGCCTCATCATCGAAGTCTGCCATGCAGGAGACATCAACAGACTCCGTGCTCCGATCACCGTAGTTATCGAAAATACTCCTGCTTTCTCTTCGCACACCAGACCGTTGTCTGTCCTCACGATAAACCAGCGACTTGGCGTGTTGCCTCTGAATGAGGAGACACATGCAGACCAGCATGCACACCACAACGATAAGCAGCACAGTACAGCCAGCAATGATGAGTACAACAGTGACGGTTGATAGACTGCCACCATCAGGCTCTAAATTGGACACCGGTTACAAAACAGTTGGAGGTTAGTATGCTGTGAATACCAGCGAAACTGTATTCTGGCATAAGAAATGACAAAGATCCGACCAACACTTTAATGACTAACTGCGTACAAAAATATGCCTTGTTCATCAGATGGAATGAAATAGAAATGCTTTGGCATTATAGTCGTTGCATTTGATCAATAATCATTTGAGGTTAATTAATCAGTCCCAGTTTTAAGTCTCTTTAATTAGATGCAGAATAAACAATGTTAACTCTTTTTTACAATAAAAGAAATTATATTTTGCAAGTTTTGCAACACAAAGTTAGTCTGTTCAATTTACGCAAATCTAAGTGCGAAGCCGTTCGACGAACGTAACAGTGGGGCTTCACTAACTCTTGACGTCAAGAAAATCGCTTTGTGCGTTCGGTTAAAGTATAAACCGACTCCAAATTTGCAAACCTTTTTCTGCAGTAGATTATATCTGCATTGTTTTTACAAGCTTACCTTGGACATCCGTCTCACAACGTTCCCCTGTATATGAAGCTTGACAGCTAAAAGGGAAAAAAAGGATATTGATTCCTACCGATTGCATTATGTTTGAAAAGGAATCGTCCCACCAATGTGCTCTATATTTTGTTGAATACCCATCATTCTTATAATTTTCTCAAGTTTAATACTCATCGAGGGGATTTATGAACTTCTTTGGGTTTGCCCTAATGAAAACCACGTACAAAGTTGGGTAACTCTTGCACACATTCTGCTGGGTAGTCACCACAACCGTGAGTTAATATACACATTTGTATTGGTGGATATATTACAACTGAAGTTGCATGTAGTTTTGGTAATTGACCTCATGCATGAAGGCGGATTTATATGGAGGCCAATAGTTTTGTATCGTATAGAGAGGCATGAGTAAACCTTTCTTTGTATCCATTGTTAATGAATTAAAACAAAGAACAGCTTCTGACGCGCCCAAGGTCCATGGAATATGGTTTTACCTGCACGTATACAAAACTTGAGGGAAGTTTCCAGACGCCTCACAAGTCCCACCATTTTTGCAGTAGGTTGGTACACAGTCAAATTCCCCATCTGTCATGACAAAAGTCATTAAACTGAAAGTGGATGTAATGTAAAAGAATAAATGTCGGTTCCATAACTAAGGTTGTAAGAATATCGGGACACAAAAAAAAAAAAAAAAAAAGCATATCTTGGATATAGCGGACGCAATAAGAGGGCGCCATTTGTATTCAGCAAAACCTTTAGTGTTTACCCTTTTGTATTTACCTCCGTCTTACTTCTTGGAACTTGATACAGTAATATTTCAGGGAAAAGGACATTCGTCCACAGTCCTTTACCTAACCATAATGGGCCAAAACCCCACCTGTTTAAGATTGGTGTACAGTTGCATTACCATTTACAGTGACTGAATCACGGTCGAAGTTGATGACATTAACGCCGTCGCTCAGTGATGGACTGCTTGACATGACTTCCTGCAGGCTGGCGTCTGAGGGCGCACCATTTTCAAATGAAGCCACAGACCTTACGACAACGCTCCCTTCCTCCATCGACGGGACTTGAACTGATAATACACCGTTGGTGGATGGGTTCTCCTTCAGTCTCACGAAAATCTGAAGTTAATTTACCAGTAAGGGAATGCCCTCTAAATTGAATTGCACATCTAATGGCCAGTTTCTGCCTCAAAAGATGTGTAAAGTTCAAACTAATGGACGTCATTTCCGACAATGATCCGGCATACTTCAAGATCATTGTCGGAGGAATTGTTAAGACTACCTTCAATGCCGTTATTCATTTCGTTAACAACTGAGAATAAAGTCACGATTCCAATCATTTATAGTTGTATTATTATTTTATAATTCATAGTATTAGCCCTGTGCTCAGGTTAAGACATTGCGATCTTGCCGCAAATAGAAAGATATTCCAGGTTACTATTTAACAATGGGGTCTAATCGAGAGAAAGAACAATGTAATACAGCACAATTATAATGTCTCCTAATCGACCAGTATAATTACCGCCCGTTCAAATACAGCAGCTAGTCTCCGGAAAGCAGTTGATGTCGGGTTTTTGTAGGCCTGATTGAAATCCAAATCAGCTGTCACCACAATCTGTTTAGATGGAAGTTCTGTTAAAAAAAAGGGTGATATCACTGGATTAATATTTTTAAAAAATGTAGTTTGCTAATAGAAATATTCACAGCAAAATATGTTACAAAAAAACAATACCACAAGCTCCCACAAAAAGGGAATATAAGAGGTATGTAGGATCATTTGCATTTTTGTGATTTTTTTTCCTGTTTGAAACTACAAAATTGTTCAAACTCTTAAGAAGAGTGCATAATAGCTAACTAGTTGAAGTTTCTGCTGGATACAATCCATTAGAAAAAACAGAAAACGTACGCATTGGTTTAGAAGTATCATAGCTGTTTTCCGTTGCTTACGCACTTATAAACATTGAATTCACGCACACTTTCTCAATCCACCTTCTGTAATTATTTGTTTTTCTTCCGAATGATGCATTTGAAGCGGAATGATGTCACATGGTAATTTGTACCAGTCTTATCCTCACTCTGAGAACGGATTTTCTCGTTAAATTAGTAGGTTCGTCCCAGGATTTTTTATTAATTCCTATTTATCAAAATTTGATGAGCAGGTTGTGAAAGGAGGTAAGGTGAATGAAGATCCTTAAACTGCTTGTGGAATAAAGTGAACACATTTCTACTTACTTCTACACGAACTATCGTTTTGCAAGAAATACCCATCGAAAACATTGCAAATGCAAGTGAAGCCATCTTGGTGTGTGTCTGGCAAACAGTAGTGTTGAGCATCAGAGCATCTATTACCAGACAGACACGGATTCTCATCTGCAAATAAAGGTATTTTTAGGTGATTTGATCTTCGATCGTAGACATGTGATCGATCTTTAAAGGCATTTATGACATAGAGGTTGAAAATGAGAAGATTTTCAGTGTAATATGTCGAATGACACATACTGAGGAGTTTTTGGAACATTCACGTAGACCACCGAAACTGCATGGTCATCATATTGGTGTGTAGATAACTGATAGTTTCAGCAGTTACGACAAGGTATTGATACATTTCAGATGCTGTGCCCTAAACCTGGCAACAACGAAGACGAGTATAGTCCGTCGCACCATTTGGTAACATTCATGAATTACTGGCATCAACTTGCAAACCTTTTTTACCCATCACATTATCCTAAGTTGGCATTTTGTTTATATTTCTACAAAATGAAACGTTCATGTAATTCATATTACCAGAACATGTTGATCCTGAATGTGTAAGTGGACAGGCACACTCGCAAAACTCAACATCAAATGTCCCTCCATTCTGACAGCTTAAAACCTGGCAGTCTAAACAATCAAAAGATAAAATCATTTGTAGTTATTTGTATCACCCTAACTTAGGAAGTGTTTCACACACTGCACTCATTTGAACAATGAATAATGACCTATTCATATGATATTTATGACATATGATATTTCCACGGCATATGACTCCAACGAATAATTTATTACCATTGGATCTGACCATATTGGTGCCATCACAGACAAATGGCAAGAACTGACTATAGTTGATGGCGTGGAGCTTCTTGTTAAATTATCTGACAGGTTCCAGGCCTATGCACTTTCCCCTGATGACTAGCCACGTTTGAGCACCCAAATATGCTCTGCGCTACATAAACTGGGTGAGTTCTTTCGACTCAATACCTTTAGTTGTGTGTTCTGCCGAGGAGGAGCCAGCCAGAATTCTGCAAACAACATTTTGTTTAACCTAGCTTGCACGTATTACTTTACAATCAACCTCATGTTAAATTTTGTCAGTCCAGTAATTTTAGTTGTATGAGGTTCTCGCACTAATATGGTTAAAACACTCAACACATATGAAAGACAAGACAAACATGCCACATCCAAAACAAACACTAATGCAAAGACCAAGATGCCTTTTCTTTATATTTATCATAACTTTACCGAACGTATTTGTGGTGCTTGGTTCTAGAGTGGTTGGTTCTAGAGTGGTGGTTAGTCCTGCAGTGGTGGTTGGTCCTGAAACCGTGGTTGGTCCTTGAGTGGTGGTTGATTCTGGAATGGTAGTTGATCCTGAAACGGTGGTTGGTCCTGGAACGGTGGTTGGTCCTGGAACGGTGGTTGGTCCTGGAACGGTGGTTGGTCCTGGAGTGGAGGTTAGTCCTGGAGTGGTTGTTGGTTCTGGAGTGGTGGTTGGTCCTGGAATGGTATTTGATCCTGGAGTGGTGGTTGATTCTGGAATGGTAGTTGATCCTGAAACGGTGGTTGGTCCTGGAACGGTGGTTGGTCCTGGAACGGTGGTTGGTCCTGGAACGGTGGTTGGTCCTGGAGTGGAGGTTGGTCCTGGAGTGGTTGTTGGTCCTGGAGTGGTTGTTGGTCCTGGAGTGGTTGTTGGTCCTGGAGTGGTGGTTGGTCCTGGAATTGTACTTGTTCCTGGAACGGTGGTGGGTCCTGGAGTGGTGGTTTGTCTCGGAGCGGTGGTTGATCCTGGGACGTTGGTTGTTCCTGGAACGTTGGTTGGTCCTGGATGGGTGGTTGGTTCTTGAGAGGTGCTTAGTGCTAGAGTGGTTGTTAGTTCTGGAGTGGTGGCCTGTTCAACTACTTATTATTGTTTTCCAAAATAAATAATAATGAGAAATAATGTAAAATAACTATTAGTAAAAAAAAAGTGAAAAAAGTGCTGAGAGTATGTAATTACTTTTTCCATCAAGCTTTTAGGTATAAAATCCTGCACTATTTCTTCTTAACCTTGGAAGATTCTTCCTTTTCAAAAAAAAATAGTTACCTGTACACTGTCAAGGGTGCGTTTCCTTTTCAATGAACCTTAATACTCAGATGCATTTTCTTTTTCAGATGATAATTATCATCACTTACCAAACTCATCCGTGGTGCTTGGTTCTAGAGTGAAGGTTTGTCCTGGAGTGGTGGGTGGTCCTGGAATGGTGGTTTGTCCTGGAGGGGTGCTTGGTCCTGGAACAGTGGTTGGTCCTGGAGCGCTGGCTGGTCCTTGAGTGGTGGTTGGTCCTGGAACGGTGGTTAGTCCCGGCGCTGTAGTTGGTCCTGGAGTGGTGGTTGGTGCTAGAGTGGTTGTTAGTTCTACTGATTGTTTTCCAGAATAAATAACAAGACAATGAAATTTTGAAACAATTATAATAAAAATGGAAAAGGTGCCGAGAGTATGTGATATTGCCTTTTTTCATGCTGGATCTGACCATATTGGTGCCATCACAGACAAATGGCAAGAACTGACTATAGTTGATGGCGTGGAGCTTCTTGTTAAATTATCTGACAGTTTCCAGGCCTATGCACTTTCCCCTGATGACTAGCCACGTTTGAGCACCCGAATATGCTCTGCGCTACATAAACTGGGTGAGTTCTTTCGACTCAATACCTTTAGTTGTGTGTTCTGCCGAGGAGGAGCCAGCCAGAATTCTGCAAACAACACTTTGTTTAACCTAGCTTGCACGTATTACTTTACAATCAACCTCATGTTAAATTTTGTCAGTCCAGTAATTTTAGTTGTATGAGGTTCTCGCACTAATATGGTTAAAACATTCAACACATATGAAAGACAAGACAAACATGCCACATCCAAAATAAACACTAATGCAAAGACCAAGATGCCTTTTCTTTATATTTATCATAACTTTACCGAACGTATTTGTGGTGCTTGGTTCTAGAGTGGTTGGTTCTAGAGTGGTGGTTAGTCCTGCAGTGGTGGTTGGTCCTGAAACCGTGGTTGGTCCTTGAGTGGTGGTTGATTCTGGAATGGTAGTTGATCCTGAAACGGTGGTTGGTCCTGGAACGGTGGTTGGTCCTGGAACAGTGGTTGGTCCTGGAACGGTGGTTGGTTCTGGAGTGGAGGTTAGTCCTGGAGTGGTTGTTGGTTCTGGAGTGGTGGTTGGTCCTGGAATGGTATTTGATCCTGGAGTGGTGGTTGATTCTGGAATGGTAGTTGATCCTGAAACGGTGGTTGGTCCTGGAACGGTGGTTGGTCCTGGAACGGTGGTTGGTCCTGGAACGGTGGTTGGTCCTGGAGTGGAGGTTGGTCCTGGAGTGGTTGTTGGTCCTGGAGTGGTTGTTGGTCCTGGAGTGGTTGTTGGTCCTGGAGTGGTGGTTGGTCCTGGAATTGTACTTGTTCCTGGAACGGTGGTGGGTCCTGGAGTGGTGGTTTGTCTCGGAGCGGTGGTTGATCCTGGGACGTTGGTTGTTCCTGGAACGTTGGTTGGTCCTGGATGGGTGGTTGGTTCTTGAGAGGTGCTTAGTGCTAGAGTGGTTGTTAGTTCTGGAGTGGTGGCCTGTTCAACTACTTATTATTGTTTTCCAAAATAAATAATAATGAGAAATAATGTAAAATAACTATTAGTAAAAAAAAAAGTGAAAAAAGTGCTGAGAGTATGTAATTACTTTTTCCATCAAGCTTTTAGGTATAAAATCCTGCGCTATTTCTTCTTAACCTTGGAAGATTCTTCCTTTTCAAAAAAAAATAGTTACCTGTACACTGTCAAGGGTGCGTTTCCTTTTCAATGAACCTTGATACTCAGATGCATTTTCTTTTTCAGATGATAATTATCATCACTTACCAAACTCATCCGTGGTGCTTGGTTCTAGAGTGAAGGTTTGTCCTGGAGTGGTGGGTGGTTCTGGAATGGTGGTTTGTCCTGGAGGGGTGCTTGGTCCTGGAACAGTGGTTGGTCCTGGAGCGCTGGCTGGTCCTTGAGTGGTGGTTGGTCCTGGAACGGTGGTTAGTCCCGGCGCTGTAGTTGGTCCTGGAGTGGTGGTTTGTGCTAGAGTGGTTGTTAGTTCTACTAATTGTTTTCCAGAATAAATAACAAGACAATGAAATTTTAAAACAATTATAATAAAAATGGAAAAGGTGCTGAGAGTATGTGATATTGCCTTTTTTCATGCTGCACTTATGTATAAAATCCTACATTGTTTTTTTTTTTTTTTATCTAGGTTGATTCTTCCTTTTAAACAAAAAAATACTGAACTGCACACTGTCAAGAGGTCATTTCCTTTTCAACGAGCCCTGAATACATGAACAAAATACACAAAAATGTGTTCCACGATCAGTGGCGATAGCCAAGAGATTATACCAGCGATAGCTTTGAGAAAGTCGATTCATAGATAGTTCATGTCCTACAGTTGTCGGATCTTTCCGGCCAAGAGAGTCAGGCTTTTTAGACAGCCTTCGGCCTAAAAAAAAAAATGTTACCTTTGTATATGTATAAAGTTTTGACCATGTTGCTAGGTATCAATTTTCCTCTTTTTTTCCGCTGTAAAATAAGTCGAAACAACCTAGTTATTTACAAATTCATGGTTTTGAAATGACATTTCGTTTACAGTCAGGAAATACTGATGCTTCGGTGCATTTCAAGTAGCACAGCGCAGTGGCGTATCCAACTTTTAATGTCAAGGGAGGGGGCCGACGCACTCATTCGCACCGAAATGTAGACATATTTTGTTCTCGGGACACTTGGCCTCCGTAAAATCAAAAGGGAGGGGGTGCCCATCATCCAAATGGAGGTGCTCTTCAAAACTTAGATTTATTATACATACTGGAAAATATGTGCCGATTTTCACGGCGCATTGTAATGGTTTTTGAGCTTGGTTTTCTATTTTGTTTTCATGTCAGACCTCTCTTACCATTTACTGAAATAGTTACTGCAGAAAAATATTTCCCCCCCCCCCCCCATCCCCATCCCTCTGGATACGCCACTTTAGCACGGGACTCGTCCGTCGCATGTGCCCGTTCTGTGACAAACACCTGGCTTACTCTTATTGGATAGAGTAAAATAATAATCTATAAACCTGTAGTGGAGGTATCCGACTGATAAGTTGATGTTGTAGCTGACGTTGACACTTGAGCCATAGTTGAAGGCGCTTCTGTAAAAAGAACAAAGGGCAAAGGACAGACTCACGAACAAAGGTAGTGCTAAGAGGGGCACTAGAATGGACATCTCACATGATTTTATGCGTTGCGTCATATAGCTGAGTATTATCGAGCAAGATACACTGCCGCACTCGCTTGATAGTGTATTTATTTGATATTGCAGGATAGTTTAAATAAAAATGGCATAATTAAAATTAAAAATTAAAATGACATGTAATTATCACCCACCGATGCACTGCCTGCCATCCTCGTGAAGTAAATATCCAGGATTGCAGCTACATGTGTAGTTCATTAGGACGTTTTCACAGTTTTGATCGCAGCCAAGTCCACCACTGCTAGCTGGTTGGTCTCTGTACAGCTGGCACTCGTCAATATCTGCAGACAGAGCGCAAGATAGAGAATGTAATATGTTTAAAATCAAATAAATCTGTTTCACTTGAGATTAAACATCAAAAACACGGATTTTCATGCTGACGAAATTTGAAACGGTTTGAGGAAGCCCAACTATCTGGTGGAGTGCCACAGGGGACAAAACTGGGTCCAGTGATATTTTTCTTTTGCACTTTACTTAATAGTTAAATAGAATTTAGAAGTAAGGACCCTTAATCCGTTTACAGAAATTACAGAAATACGTGTGAGTGGAGGTGGGGTAGAGTTCTTTCAAGATGGTGTTGTCTGATTGCTTGCTTCCCTTCCCGTCTGTGCTTTTGCATTCCTTATCCGGTTTAACTAAATGTTATATAATCTCATTTATACGGCATGACACAGCTCTCCCTCTGAGGGCTACGCTGTTTAAAGTACATACACCAGTCATCCATAATATTCACTAACTTTCTCTTAATTGTTTTAAATTTCAGGGATTTTTGAGTGTAGTTAACAATGTATACTTCTAAATTATTGCGTTTTATGGTATAATTGTAATCCACTGTGCAATTTAGGCTGCTAAAAGAGAAGTAAAATAAAGCATTAGTATCAATAATTATTAAAATAATAATAGACGACTAACTATATAGATGTGATGGCCCTTGGTTTACCATCATTTCCAGGTCTCAAAGAATTAGTCCTATCATACTACTTACCTTACATTTGCTGATTTTTATCTGCTCCTCATAAATAAAGCCCAATAAGTCTTTCAAAGAAAGCCAAGAGATGGGTTTATGCCTGAATGCCTAGAAGCCATAGTAAATTGACTTCCAAGAACATTTGCCATTCTGTATTGACAAACGAGGAAGGTTTGTTTGGGAAATCCTTAATCCTTAAGAAGGCCTTATCTTGGAAGCCTTGATAAGGAAGATATGGTCAGCCATTAGTAATGATATAAATCCTGTTTGACCTTTTCATTTGGGACCATTGAGCTGTTTAGATTCAAGGGGGCTTACTAAATATTATAAGCAAGCCTAGCTGTAGCAGCACCAGAATTACTAGCAGCAGTAGTAGACGAAGATATCGACAGCAACGACGGCAACGACGACAAATTGAACAGAACAAATACGACGTTTTTTACCTAGGCAACTCTTGCCGTCTCCCTCCAGTCCTTCAGGACAAGGTCCGCAGGTGCTGTTGTACGATGGCGGGGCTTCATCAGTACAAGCAACGCCTATGAAACAAGGGCTATCGGCACAGGCGTCGTAATCCATTTCGCAAAAATCTCCAGTCCAGCCCGGCTGACAATCACACAACACCACCTGGGTGGGGATTGTATACAGAAAGAATGTACCTTCACTAGAACGTACAGAGCATGTTTGCTTGGTTTTATATATTTTGTAACAAACGATCGTACTGTCCCGGCTTGAATTAGATCATTGCGAGCTCAACTTTTTCCTGTACTCACCCCGAAACGATCTTGTATCAGATTGGTTCCACTAACATACTCATTAAATAGGCATGTGCCGTCATTCTCACAGTCACAAAGCTTAACAGTGGGTTCAAGTGTTGCATTTGCTATACCGTCTGTGGCTAGGAAACCAATCGAGACCTTGGACCTATTTGCAGGAGTCCATTTGAACAGACCTATCGAACAAAGTAAAAGGAAAATGAAAGGCGGAAAATCGTTAAAACTGGGTAACAGTCAATCAAACTGCTGAAATTTTGTGACCAATTGTGGAAGATTATTAATCAATGCCATGGAATTACAATGCAAGAATGACTAGATTTTACAGAACTTGTCTGCACAATGGATGCTACTTTCAAAAGTGGTACAACTGGAATATCTGAGTACTTCTTTATGCAAACCTCAATCACGTTCATTACTGTTACACTTGTTTTGGGTATCCAAAATCGAATTTCATGCTGTTCTATGTAGCAAGATTCATTCAAAAAAACATGAAAAAATGTTGGCTTTTCCAGCGAAATTGAATGTAATGTTGTACAGAGTAATACACCTGATTCGAACGAAGTAAAACTACTTTATTTACTTGAACATTACTTGATTTGGATTTTACTGACCATCAGATGAAATCGAAGCTCCCTTCACTGTCTGAAGCAGATGGTATGAGATATTATCTCCATCTGGATCAGCTGCTTGTAATTGCAAGGTAAAGTCCTGCCCTACTATAACCTCAACGGTCTCCACAAGCGTCAGATTTGGCGGGAAGTTCACTGAAAATATATATAGTGCATACATTAAAGATTTATTTGACACTTTTGGATAAAAGAGAAGTCAGTTTGGTTACAACATTACTTCACTTGATTTGTCTGTCGATCGAAAGACAAACCAATTTTTAGAGTTTCCTTTGAAACACCTATACTCATTCAAGACGAATACAATCTAAGTGTACTTTCATTGCTCTCTCGTTCTCAGACCGCCAAAATGTTTGGGGGATGTCTGTGGGCGCGCGTGTGTGTTACAACCCCCAGTCCTATACATTTACTCTTTACTTTTCCATGCACAACTATACTAGTAACTTTCCATCTAGAGGTCAACTCATTGGCATACACATCCTACGCTCACATGTAAACGCTACACAATTGGCCAGCATATTTAAAACTATATCACATGATTATCTAGAACATTTGGGGAAAGGTTATTGGGTTGGCAATCCGGTTCGTTAGTGTGACGTCACCTCCAGCACTTTCTGCATGATTAGAACCGGAAGTTAACGCAGCTCGAGCGTTTATAGCCAATGGGCGCCAGTAATCAGTGCTGCGCGCGTGTGTATGACGTTTTCACTAACGAACCGGATTGGTTAGGTTTCCTTGATAGGTTGGTTGGTAAACAGATCATTGGATCGATGGGTCGTTGGGTTGGTGGTCTTGGGTTGGTGGCCGGTCGTTGGGTTGGTAGGTCGTTTCGGTTGAGTCGTTGGTCTGCATGGGTGGGTCAGTGTGTTTGAGGGTCGTTGGGTGTGGGTCGTTGGGTGTGTGGGTCGTTGGGTGTGGTGGTTGGTGGGTCGTTTGGGTTGGGGGTCGTTGGGTTGGTGGGTCAGTGGGTTAGTGGCTCGTTTGGGTTGGGGGTCGATGGGTTGGTGGGTCAGTTGGTTGGTGGGTCAGTTGGTTGGTGGGTCGTTTGGGTTGGTTGGTCGTTGGGTTGGTGGATCGTTTGGGTTGGGGGTCGTTGGGTTGGTGGGTCGTTTGGGTTGGGGGTCGTTACATGGGTTGGTGGGTCAGTGGGTCGTTTGGGTTTGGGTCGTTGGCTTGGTGGGTCGTTGGGTTGGGTTGGTCTTGGGTCGGTGGCCGGTCGTTGGGTTGGTAGGTCGTTTCGATTGGGGTCGTTGGTCTGCATGGGTGGATCACTGTGTTTTGGGGGCCGTTGGGTGCATGTGTGGGTCGTTGGGTTGGTGGGTCTGTGGCTTGGTGGGTCGTTTGGGTTGGTGGGTCGTTGCGTTGGTGGGTCGTTTGGGTTGGGGGTCGTTGGGTTGGCCTGTCGTTGCGTTGGTGGGTCGTTTGGGTTGGGGGTCGTAGGGTTGGTGGGTCAGTGGGTTGGTGGGTCGTTTAGGTTGGGGGTCGTTGGGTAGGTGGGTTTGGGTTGGTAGGTCGTTGGGTTGGTGGGTCGTTTGTGTTGGGGGTCGGTGGGTCAGTGGGTTGGTGGGTCGTTTGGGTTTGGGTCGTTTGGTTGGTGGGTCAGTGGATTGGTGGGTCGCTTAGGTTGGTGGGTCAGTGGGTAAGGGGTCAGTAGGTTGGTGATTCAGTAGGTCGGTGGATCAGTGGTTCAGTAGATCAGTGGTGCGGTTGGTCATCGGGTTTTCGGGTCAGTGAATTGGTAGGTCGGTAAGTCGGTGTGTCGGTGCCGAGTTGGTTGGCGTACATTTTGCGTTGTTTAATTCACATTCGTGTGATTGTTAACCGGCGACACCTCTGTTCCACATTGCACTTACTTGACATTGCCATATTAATGGTGTTCATCTCGTCGAGTACTAATGTAGCCATACCGATGCTTGTGTCATTCAGAGCCAAGGAATCATACAGACACACTTTGCTTGACCCGCAGACCGCCTTAGCCTCGTTGTATTTGCCCGGCGGTGCCTTGTCAATCAAATCTTGCAGGAAGTCTGGAGTGAAAGTAGGTTCATTCAAGGAGTTGTAGCTTTCATCAGGAGACTGGTAGAAGAACAGAGAGTCTTCCTCTGCGATTCGCCCTGAAATAGATTGAAACACACCAAAAGTACAACGAATGCTCTAAAAAGGATCCTGTTTCGCATACCGTGACAAGCTGTCCACGTTTTCAATTACGCAACATAGGTCCCCCTGACTCATTGTAATTGGTACCAAATTCCTGAAGGGTTGGATGATTTCTTACATGTTTCGCCAAATTCAAAGAAGTCCCTCTCCACCAGTTCTCCGCTGTCTCCAGAGCCTGTTTGCAGAGTGCCATTACGCGTCAAAACATCATTGCTTTGGTCGTCATCCCACACACCTGAGAAAATTTGACAAACCGGAGAAAATAAGCACATGGATTTGCACCTTAAAACGACATTACATATTATATTGGATTGTCATGTCTTAAGTTTTCACAATTATTATTGACTTGCCTATAAGTTGGTTACAGTGATAATCACGAAGACAATTTTCTAAATTCATATTTAGAAAGCAACATTGTACGGAAAAAAAAGGATTAAAAAAACCCAGATCATACCTAAAATTCCTTTAGTTTTGCCTTTGAAGTCCTGGTTGATAAGGACGGTCATGTCGGCCATGCTATTGTTCACCCTGACAGAAAAACTGACGTACTCAGAATACATGACGCTCACTTTGACTGGGTTCTCCGCCCTCGTTACCGAAAGATTTCCTAAGTGCAATCCTACGAGAAAATAACACAGAAATTAATAATGATAATGGCACATTTATTGTTGCATCCAGTTTAGGTAAATGTGTATAAAAAAAATATTAAAACAGCCCTCGTACCAAATGGCACGTACCGAATGATGGAACGTACATACAACAGGGCGAAAAGGTTACCAATAGATTACCAGTGGAAACATATTGCACTTTGGTGATTATTAGAGACTGGGCTTACCTGTAGCACTGGGTGTGACAACGGTCGCATTGATAGTCGTTACCAAATCCATGGCATCATCACTCAACTTGATCTCAATCTGTATGAATGGCAAACAAAACCGGCAAGCTATTCAAGTGTTTGAAATTCATGCATCAGAATGAAATTTCGAAGATTTTCAATTCATTGCAGGGTAGCCTGATATAAATATAACTAGTTTGGGTTTTTTTGCATCAGATCCAATCAGCACACTTTTCAATGACTTAGCAACTTAGAAATGAAAATAGATCAACATGGAATGCAAATCATAGAATCAAGTCAAAGGCATTTTTGAAATGTGTCATGTGTAAATACAAAACAATGTGTTTACAGACCCTTGCTTCTCCTGTGTACACCGCAGCGAATCCAGAGTAGATAGTGGCCTGACTTAGTTCCCCTGTCTCAGTATCCACGGCCTGTCGTGTGCGACCCTGCAGTTCAAACATCCTTTGTCCATCGTCATCTTCGATGAGTGCTAGCGTGTATTCCCCCAAACCGTTGAAGGTGTACTCCAGTCCGTCAAGTGTAACGATATGGGGGTCTCCCCAAAACCACACTAGTTACAATGTGTAAATAATAGCACAAGAATCTAAACACCGCAAAAATATCCAAACTCACTATTTTGAATCTGATCGTCTTATGATAACGTAATTTATATAGACTTTTGGGGAATGTGGTTAGCTACATTTTGATACCTCGTTTGCTACCAAAGACTGTAAATCGTCCAACACTGACAACGGTTAATGAAAAATGATGGAGTTTGAAAAGTTGCAAATTTAAAGAGTACGAGAGTCGAGTGAAATTGCTGCGTGACAATGTGTCTCTGCCCGAAACAAACGGCAGGGAAAATCCATTTTTGCGGTGTTTATAAAACGCTTAAGGTGCTATAGTGCTGTAACGGTGAAGCTTTATGCGATATTTCGGTCTGTTGAACTGCTTAAATTTTATACTAAATCAGACTAACGATTTCGTCAGTACGTAAGTGTTTTTAGCGGTTAGGTTATAAACGAGAAAGAAGTCAGGGAACCTGACAGTCGTCCCACTGTCCACTTTCCCTTCGCGACAAAGTGACCATTCAGATATCCGATGGTTCAAAAGTTTTTACAAAATCAAAAGCTTAAAAATTAAGTAAAAAATTCGGGCTGAAAAAATAATGACGGTGACAATGTTTCATGTAGATTGTGTAATGTTTTACGTGTTTTTACCTGATAACTTACCTCACAAAATTATTCGTATTGTTTTAACACGAACGTGTGGAAATTGTAGTTTACTGCTGCGTTAAATTGCTTCAACAATTAAAAGAACTCATTATGAACATTATGAATTTCATTATGAAAGTTGTATTTTCACCGTCAGGGAGAGGAAGAGTATTATGGCCTACACAATGTTGTAGTAACAAAAAAAAAACACGCGTCAGGCCTAAGTTTTTTAGCACTCGGCTACGCAGGTATTTTCGTTTTCAATGAGATACATGTACTTACACCAGGCAGGAGGAACATACGACCAGCAAGTCATCAGAGGCCGCCATTGTATATACAGATGGCAAAGCGTTGATCGTTCACAGCAATAAAAGCGAGGCCACACCTCTTCATCTGGAACAAAAAAATATCAATATCTGATTGAACAAAGTATTTGTTATCGTATAATATACCGCTTTAACCAACTTACAAGATGCTCAAAATCACAAACAAGAATATAAACTTTTACTCTTTTTTTTTAAGATCGTGGAGTTTATGCTTTGGGGTTCCCCTTTCCTCCCAAAGGCCCCATGTTTGAGCCATCAAAATGGAACTGTTATCCAAAGAAAATTTTCTGTTTTTAAATATTTTACGGTACACAAACTAATTCGTGCGGTCTATGCATTGCGGGTTCCCCCCCCCCTTCTTTTCCAAAGTCCCTCCCACCTACTTTTGCTAACACACATAAAAACGAAGGGAAGAAACAAATTTGTATCTTCAGTCGGAAACAGTATTCCCAACCAATATGTGGTCCTTGGATTTTTCCCCCATTTTGCTGGTAATGATGTTTGAGCCTTCAAAATGGAACCGTGATCCAAAAAAAATCTTCTTTTTTGTTTTACAGTCCAGAAACAAGAAAAAACTGTGCAGAACATGATTGCGCATACCTAACCACTGTTGGTACAAATCATCCGTATAGAATATTGGACTGAACGGGAACCTCTCAAAGACAGAAGAAACCCTAGGAGTCCTCACATTATACAGGAGATCACAGGTGAATATATTGTAGCAACACTGAGGGCCTGGCGTCCCAGGAAATTGAAAGAGACGCACGTAACAAACAGCAGCTGAAATGATTAAAATTACTTCGAATTATGATATCTCAATCTTAGTAATATGCAGCTATTGAAATAAATGTATAAGAAGAATTAAACGTGTGTAATAATTTTCATCTCAATAAACAATATAATAATTCCATGCAAATAAAGAGCTGACAAACTGCACTTAATATGCAGTGATGTATTTTGCCCAGGAGAGATTCAAACGGATACGTCTGGGTATTGCTGTTCCCTCATTAATGATGAATGAAAACTATCCGTATCGATATAACTATCGATATAAGATTATTACTAGGACTTCATTAACGCTTGATTTTGGAAAGTGGCACTTACGGACATTTGATGAACGTAGTTCTTGAGGCAGATCATAGGCTGGGACTGGTATGTATCGCCAGTCCAACACGGCATTGACAAGGCTGCAGGGGCACGTATCAGCGAAGGCATCCAAATAGATACCAAGTGAATGGTAAGGTGGCTGGTGGCTGTGCCAGTTGTGACATTGTTGGCGGGGATTGATGAAGTCCGGTCTTGGTGTGTTGAGGGGGAACACCCAACGTCCTGCCTGACCTGTATTTCCTTCGATGGTACCGGGGAGGTACTCTGATTCGTTTGGGTTGACCACGTAGACAGGTGAATCATTAGACGTTCCGCAGGTAAAGCCCTGGATGACATTTTTGTTCGATAAAAAACTGAAGTCCCAATTCAGGCCGCAAGGATCGTAATTGAATATCACAAAGCCATGGATGCCATCCGTCGCCAGCACGGCTTGGAATGTGTTTGTCTTCTGAAAGGTGCAAAGAATAATAAACATTACAAGACGAATGTAGTTTAATCGCGTCCAGAACCAATACACGCACCACTTTAATTGGTTGTTTTTGAACGTTTTACACAATGACAAAAAAGTCGTAGTCTGCCTCAAGGAAGATTTGCTAATAACCGTTTGTCGATAACGAGGTAGGTCCTCATCTTATGATAAAATGGCATTGTGTATCACAAATCTTGTTATTCGTACCTTTTTGATATCATTTATCTGTTTTGTCTGTTTTGGTGCTTAGACCGGTGCCTTTCCTGCTTTGCATACTTTGCCTGTTTTGCCTGCTTTGCCAGCTTTGCCTGATATGCCCGCGTTGCCTGCTATTCCTGCATTGCCTGCATTCCCTGCTTGCATGCTTGCGATGCCTCCTTACCTGCTTGCCTGCCTTGCCTGTTTGTCTTTTTTGCCTTTTTTTGCCTGATATGCCCGCGTTGCAAGAAATGCCTGCGTTGCTTTGCCGGACTTGCCTGTTTTGTCTGCTTTGTCTACTTTGTGAGCCTTGCATGCTTTCCTCACTTAGCCTGCTTGGCCAGGTTTGCTTGCTTCGCCTGCTTACCTACTATTTTTTTGTCTGCTTTGTCTACTTTGCCTGCTTGCCTGCTTTGCCTCGGTCTGCTTTGCCTGCCTTGCCTGCTTCGTATGGTTGGCCTCGGATGCCTGATTCTCCTGCCTTAAACATGCTTTGTCTGATTTTCGCGTCTTGCCTGCTTAATTTGTCTGATTTGCTTGCTTGTCTGTTTGCCTGCTTTGCCTCTGTTGACATTGTCTGCTTTGCTGCTTTAATTAATTTGCACACTGGCTTGCCTGCTTTCCCCTGTGCCTTGAAAGCCTTGCATTCCTTGCATTCTTTGCATGTCTTGCATGCCTTGCCTGCTTAGCCTGCTTTTGTCCAGTGCCTAACATGTCATGCCTGCTAATGCCTGCTTTGCCTGCTTTGCCAGCCTTGCCTGCTTTGACTACTTTGCCAACCTTGCCTGCTTTGACTACTTTGCCTATCATGCCTTATCTGCATAGCCTATTTTGCATGCTTTGCCTGTTTGCCTGCTTTCTGTTTCTGTAGGCTTTGCCCACTTCGCCTTCATGTTTGCCTTGCCTCCTTTGCTTGTTTGCCCACTTTCATTCGTGTAGCCTACTTCACTTTCTTGTTTGCCGTGCCTGCTTGCCTGCTCTGCCTGCTCTGCCTGCTTGTACACTTTCATTCTTGTGGGCTGTGCTTACTTCGCGTTCTTGTTTGCCTTGCCTGCTTTGCCTGCATTGTCTACTTTGCTTGCTTGTCCCGACTTGCTGCTTTGCATATACTGCCTTGTGATCAGGAGTAAATTTTAGCTGTTCAATTTGTCTTAAGGAGTTAAGACATGTATAGCACCTAGTTTGGAATGTATTTCATTTGCATTCTTAAGTGATTATCATTTCTTCATTTTATTTTCAATTAAGGCGCCACCTACACGAGATAATGAAATTGCTCGAACATTGCTCCAAGTGACAACAAGTGCCCAGTTGGCTGAAAAATTGCTGGATTTTGTTGACACAGTAGCACTGATGATATCCAACATGTCCTGGTTGACGTTTTCCACATACTGATTGTAAACCTACAAAAAAATTTAAAGGCATAAAGGTTAGTATCATTTATCAACAAGACAATTAGTATTGATCTGTTCGCAATTGCAAGTAAAGTCTGTCCTCAACACCATTCATTCAGAAACACGATGCACTGAGAAGCGTTCCTTTGAACAATTTAAAAAAAACAAAGCACATACAAACAAATCGATCCAAATTAAAGAGAGCTATGTATACACGGAATCATGTGGAAAACGTACCTGCCAGAAAACATTACTGGTTGGGCTGAAAGCATCGCCTTTGACATCGGCCCAAAATGGAGTTATCATTGCCTTGTTGCCAGTAAAGGCTTTACTTGGCGCACTTGGAAATGCGAGTTTGTCGAGACTTTGCTCATTCGAAAGGACAATCACACCATTATCAGTGAACTGCAAATAACAAAACAGTATTCGCACATTTTGTTGGCCGTCAACTGGGCATACTTTTAGGTTATAAACAAACAATGAAATAGCTTAATTATTTAATCATGGAATCAGTGATATGGTAATTAAATTCAAGCTAAACATCATTATTTTCAGCGTATAGGTTTGTTACACCGACTTGCACTTACATACAGTTTCTCGTACATTCCATCACAGATAGGAAAGAAATCCGGCGGGTAGATGGTAGGTGATATCAAATCCTTACTTGACAGAAAGAGCTGTTAAATAAGTAACAATAAAACAGTCTTAGATCTTAATGAAACAGTCAGGTCTCAACACCATCAAGAAATCAGAAGAAAATCCATTTAATTCAAACATTGGAGGATATAGTGAGAAAGATTTCCTTTAAAACTACGACTACAGCATACCCTAAATTTCCTCCTCACTTACCTTCTGGGGTACATCTGACAGTAGGGCATCCCCACTCGCTGTGCCAAATGGTAGCAGGCTTCCCTCTACAAAAACAAAATTAAATACTATAAAAACTGCTTCTTCATTGATAATTAAGTGAAATTCCCACGTTGTTATGACTAGAGAAACTGGAGCAGAGTAACCGAATACACGAACCAACGTCGTTCTCCAATGCCTATAATCAAAAGATACTCGACTGGCTGGAAACAAGTCTTATGCACATAATGCCCGCTATACAGCCTGGATACTATGCTAAATGCTTCCTCGACAAACAACTCGTTCGGACAAGATTAAAAAAACACAGACAATGCTTCCTTTTATTGTGTAACGTACGAGATGCTAATGAATCTATTGTCTGTTAGTAAGATGCCGCAATATGGTGTACCACAAATTCTGGCAAACGCAATGTGGACATTCAGTTGGTTTTCCGCACAGCGTACTCTTTGTAAATCTCATAACGGTTCGGGAAAAAGAACATGTTTACAGCAAACGATCCGTGTGTCAGATCAATGTTACACGTTTCTCTGTTGAAATGGGGGGGGGGAATTATAATAATTAAACAAATAAAAATTATAATAAAATGGGGTATCGCAAGTTCCGATTGAAAGATGCGAGCCTCTAGGGGGTTTTAGTTACTAGTCATCCTTGTGCTTTGGACTGGACGAATTATCTACCACATGTTTCGTTTGTTCGATGGAACTGTGTCTGCAAATGACTCTTACTATTGACGGTGAGAGTGAAGTCCTTGAGTGTCACACATCCAGCAGAATTGGTAACAATACAGGTGATGGCATGGTATCCCAATCCAAATACACCTCCTGTAATACCGACACCGACGCCATCACCAGAATCTGTGCAATCGATGGAGACTTCACCAGCGTCCATGGCATGAACCTCGGTCCATGTCACTGTAGATGTGTCCATGCCTGGATCCGTGCACTGATCACCGACTGTTGGTACTGTGAGGATTGGGTATGCTGTGCGAGCAAATTTTAATGGAAATGTCGTTACTGCATTAAAATAAACTACATTTCTTTCATAATTTGAAGAGGATGAAAGATGTGCGTTAGCATTTTTGTTAAAAAATTTTCAAACATCGTCATGAGTTGCTGAATATTGTCGTACCAACATGACACCAACAGCAATATAAATTAAGGTGGCACAACTCTTTTATTCCTGATAATTATAAGCCCCTTCAAAATTCCCCAACAAATCTGAATTCTTATGTGATGTAAATCAACATGGTTGATAACCAATGATATATACTAAATCAATGCACCTGAAACGATGAAAGAAATGAGGCACTCCGGAAAGGCACCGGTTTTTGAAACGCACACCACATCGTGATGTCCTGTACCAAACACTCCCCCTGTAGCATTCACACTGGATTTGTTCCCAGCGAAATCTATGCAGTCGATGTCAGCAGGGTTTATTTCCTCAGAAAGTATCCAACTGAGAAAAACATCCGAGACTCCCTCTTCAAGACACTTGTTCTCAATCTCGGGACACTGAACTTTGTCGTCATCTTGAATACAACAAGAAGGGGTTAAAGTGTATGTATCAGAACGAGGAATTGGGGGTAGTGTTCTTTATGTCACTCTTCCTGCGCCAGTTACAGTGTGTGCTAGGGATGCAACAGTGCAAATACATTCCCATAGACACTGGTGCTAAATGCCCATACTTCAAAATTCTTTTAAAAATACTCAGAACTCTCACAGGTATTCAAGCTGCATATAAATGATAATCAACATGTCATCTTTCGTTTTCTTTTCATTTATTGGTGGGTTGACTATTGACTTTTCGAGATATTCTCACCCAAAGAAGACGACCCCTAGTTTCCCCAAAGCGGAAAAGTAGCCATTTTGAAAAACGATCTTTCCACAACATGGCAAAATAGCGCAACTTTCGAGCCCAATAGCACCCAAAATGCTCAGAATTGGAAGCCCCGAGTCCGGGCCAGCGGTTCAGTACCATATCTCTTCAATTCCCCAATTTTACGGCGCTCAGAACTCTGTTATATAGAATAGTTTTACTATATTGACTATTTTGGGTATAACTTTTATTCATGAGCTTGGCGGATGGATTTACCGGTGTGCACCCCTAGGATTTGTGACACAAACAACATGCCACCATTTGTAAACAACAGGCCACAATATCCTCTATTTTAGTCACGTGCAAGAGTGGAGTCATTATGTTCGCATTCATTTTGAAGGAAAAAGGCTGAGTTAACATATAAAGTACATGTACAAAAAAAACTTACTGGAGGTACAGCGTGGACCCGAGTGTCCTGGATCGCACACATCAACATCTGTGCAGTTTGGGAACGGCATAGCCGGACCGGTGCACTGAACACCCTCTGACGACTCTGTTCCAATTTAATTCAAGCAGAGATCATTTCTTATGTACTTCGAACTAAATGGGGACAATGTTAAAAATCTCATTTATATCAAAAAACCAATTGAAATGTCCTATTGTTTAATATTGAAAATATGTGATATAAATATTATCAGCACGGTATCAGTAGCAGATCTAGAGGGGGTTGGGGTTGTAACCCCCTCCCCTTCCCCCTCCCCCCCCCCCCCCTTCAGCCGCTGACTAATGTTATGATACATGTACTAGTAAAATGGGGCAAAAAATAATAAATGGAATACCAAAGTTCCCTTCATTTATTCTCAAATTGCCTTAGAATGCAAGAGAAAGCATAGTAGATTTCAAAATTTTCTGGGGGCACGCCTCAGACCCCCCTAGCAGGGAGTGCTTTTGAAACTCCTGAGGCTCAACCCCCCCCCCCCCCCTGTATATCAACCCTACCCCTCCCTTTTCCCAAAAGGTAGATCCCCCTAGCAAATGCGAATTTTCATGTGATTTCTATTTCTTGGGAAGGGGTTCTTTGTTCAATTGTTATTTAGTTTTGGATTTACATTTCTGTTATTTTTTTTCTATCTTGTCAACTTACGAGAACAATCGTGTCCACAGTAAGCAGACGAGCAAGTGCAGCCTTGTCCCATGGCAGGCAGACAGATGCAGTTCGGAGGATTAGCAGTTGATGTGCAGAACGATGCATCTGTTAAAGACAGGTGTTCAACCACAGACGCAATTATATTTAATGGTTGCGTAGAGGTAGATTGATTTATAAAACACTCTGGATTGCCTTTGATCATATGTTATGCTTAGTTTCACAGGTTAGTATAGTGGGTTTTTAAAAAAAAATATCGAACAAGTTCATAAAATAGTGAAGAATATATAAATAACATATCTATCAAATAGATGACCGGGTTATTCAGTGGTACACTGTTAATGGATTGAAAATTAATGTAATAGGACTGCTGCAAACTGCTTACAGACTGGATTGACCTGGAATATAACAAATCTAAAGCATTAATGCGGCCTGACATTGCGAACTTAACAAGTCCTTCTTTAGATGCAAAATGACAGAGGTACAAGAAAAAAACATGTAGGGAATCATGCATGCAGGGTTGGGAGGAGAAACACATCGGGGATACATTGGGTGGATGCACACCAGTGAAGGTGCCACTGAGGATGAAGTGAAAGGACTAACAAAGGGCGGATTAAATAAGGGAGGACAGACCACAAGAAAGTTATTAATATGGGTGTAGGTGATATAGGAAATTGAGTTGGAGGACGAACAATGGGCGTGTAAAATGGGGTACAGACCACGAGAGACTAATGAGGGGACAGACCAATGTAAAAGATGGAAGGGAAGGAGTGGAAATCCGAACAATAGAGTGTAATGGTGGGTAAGGGACACAAGGGGTACAAGGAGAAATGAGTGCAAAACTTTGAAAGTTGAAAGAGGAGGACAACATGGGGTAGAAAGGAACACATATGAGAGGTATAGGCAACGGAATCATAGTTAACAAATGACAATCCAGGAAGAAAAACAATGGTTAATAATTTTCTAGTTGGATGTGGAGCCCATGTGGTCCGAAGACAGTCCACACTTTCTCCCTGCGGAAGCAAACTGAGTCCTTGCGAGGGGTAAGTGATTTTATGCCCTGTAGAATCATATCAGAAATGGAATTTCTAGGAAGGTTGAAATGGTGATCAACAGGGGTGTCCAGTCTCTTGGTGTTGACAGTCTATCGATGACCGTAGCAACTGTTCTTGAAGGTGTTCTTGGTATTACCGACATACTGCACTCCACAAACCCTGCAAGAGATGAGATATGTGACATTATAAGTGTTGCAAGTGATGTTACCAATGGATCTGTGAGTACTGCCAGAAGAGTGGCCAGCAAAGGAGTCAGACTCCTGGATGTGGATCTGGCAAACAACACATCTGGAACTGCACTGAAAAGTATCATGCTGGATGGGAGGGGATGTATCTAAGGTGGGGACTTCGGCTCCAACAATCAGGTCTCGTAGATTGCGCAGGCGCCATGGGTGTCAGGTATGGCGCCGGCAAGGCGATCTGAGCAGTGTGGAGAATTCAATGGCTGTCGTTAGTGATTTTACGAAGACGATGGAGACTGGGGTGAAAGGTGGTTAAAGAGGGAATCTTGGGGTTGACATTTGCATTTGGAGCCTTTTCTTGGAGAGCCAAATTTCTGGTGATAGCTTTGGCTCTGGCAATAGCACGTTGAACTTGGCGGAAGCTGGGACCCCTGGCAACCAAGTTATTGTTCGATACCTGTGCATGATGGAAGAATTCAGAATCATTAAACAAATCCTTCGGACTCTGAGTGCCTGGCTGCACGCTATACCTGTCTTACAATACCCAGGTGACAGCTGGAGGAGTGCTTGGCTCAGCACCCTGTCGTCCCTGGATCTGATGGAGATATATTGATGATGTGTTTTTTATTTGGACTATTAATGATGACAGTCTGGTGACTTTCACTAACCACATACATTCCTTCCACAGAACTATCAAGTTCACATCTGAGTTCTCAGTTCATCAGGTCCATTTCCTGGACGTCACCATCCTCAAGGAACACAACTCAATAACCACCTGTATTCTAAGCCCACAGACACCCACCAGTACCTTTACTCCTGCAGCTGTCATCCTAGGCATTGTATGACATGTATAGCGTTCAGCCAGGCACTCAGAAACAGAAGGATTTGTTCTAATTTCTTATTACTACTTCTGTTTCTGCGTAACTCTTCTTACCCTTCTGGATTGGAGTTGTCTTAACGATTAGCCCATACATGAACCGTGCAACAGTCTGGCGCCACTATAACCTTCCGAGAATTTCTGAATTCATTATTGTTTCAGATGGTATTACTAAAGTAGCAACAGTATGATTATACTGTTGCTGCTTTGCCTTTTCTGCCAATTTATGCAAAGAATGAAAACAACGTAATTATAATAGTAAAGAAAAATGTGTGCAAACCTGGAAGCGCAGCAACTGTGATGTGCATTTCACACTGCGCAAAATTAAACGCTTCGTCGGTTGCATTGTAGTGCACTAAATGCGGTGACGACGACAGATCAAGGTTGACACTGTCAAAAACATCGTAGGCAGAGCCATCTACATCAATTGTAACGTAGAAGACACCCGAGTTGTCAAAGACAGAATCTGCCTCGGGTAGCAAGACTCTTGAATAGTTCTTGCGACAGTTAGTGTAAACTGTCAGGTCGGCGGGACAAGTGATGTTTGGAGACTGCACATCTGCCAAAAAAAAAGATTTAAGTATGAATTGAGGAATTATAGCTCTAATTTTAGGTTGGACCTTCAATATCGCAATAGTCCTGTCTTCTGAAAGTTCTGATCTTGAAATTGAATCTGAAGCACTACTCTTAAGTCCACTTGTTGACATATTGTCCTAAAGTCATACTTGTACCAAGGGCGGATCAAGGGATGGGGGCAAAGGGGGCCATGCCCCCCCCCCAAAAAAAAGAAACAGATTTTTTTTATGTGACGTCGCAATAAGAGGCAGGCAATTATTACTCCACTATCTTTTCCTCACAAAAAAACATTAGTCAAAGTGGTCAGAAATTGCCTCAGATCGCACCACGGAGCATCGAACCCCACGCCGTAATTTTTGGACCCACTTTTTGGGGAACCATTTTTTTTTTTTTTTTTTTGGCCCCCAAAAAGAAATTGTGTTCTGGATCCGCCCTTGACCAGTGCACAGCCCTCTCCGAATATACACTTTTTCAAAAGAATTCATTACCTGCACAAGTTGTACCATCTCCTACAAATCCTGAAGTGCAGGTGCATATGAAACTCGACGGCGTGTCAGTACAGATTGCGTTAACGTCACAGTTATGTGACGGCAAAATTGGATTGCATTCGTCAACGGCTGGAATAAGAAAAAAAATTAGCTGAACAAGCTCTTTACCTCAGTGTTAGCCTTACTCTACAGTCACCAAGACAAAACCACATTACAGCAAATTAATGGATTGAACCGAATATCTAATTATTAGTGTATACCGCTCGCAGTTGTACTAGTTATTTAGTATAAAGAAAAATACAATGTCTAAAAACAAAAATTGTTCGTAAGAAATTTAGATGCAAATAACCACTTGGTTGGTCGTCCTATGACCCCAAACGCCATAAATATTTGATCTTTACGGTGGCTTCCCTTGAATATAACAAGAGTACAGTCTTTTGCACATTTATAATAAATCTAACAGTTAATTGTTTATTTCAATTTTCAAAAAAACCCCAATATTTGACTTCGATCGCTAATCTAGAAAAGACAAGTGTGGTGAACACTTTTCTTATTTATTCGAAACTACGAGTATGATCGATAAATCGAAGGTAGGTAATTGTTACCTGGTGGCGCAGTAGTGAAGTTGAGGAAGGCCTTGCATTCGGCAAGAAAGTCAGAGCAACAATCTCTGTAATATTCACACGCATCATCGCACCAGCATCCACCCCTGGGTCCATCTAAGAAACAACGACCCTCACACCTTGCTACAAGGTTAAAAAATGAAAAGGTCGCATAAACATAAAAATAAAATAGTACCGGTAATTCAATTCCAAAAACAATAAATGGAAGGTTTGCGGTAACAACTCGTGAATAATATCCCTCTTCGGTTGTGTGAGTTATAAATTCAATTTATATTGACATGATAAATTCCTGAATCAATTCCAAAAGAGTTGAACCAGTTCATTATGATTATGTTTCTGTTGTAGGTAAGTCACTTTGTAGGTAAGTATAGCCTTTGGAATGTTACAGCAGCGTTTTACAAGATTGCAGAAGCTAAGTTATGTGCTCTTGTAACCCAACCACCATTTCATGCTCATGCACATGTATGTAAGGCGTTTTAACCATACGTCTATGTGCCTGGGAATGCCTGACTTGCCAATTATTAATTAGTATCACACAGGGACGTACGTCGCTACTGTAATTCTAAGTAAAAAAAAGTGTTACATATTGCGAAACGCTCTAAAATTGTGCCATATTGTTGCAAACGATTATGGGGTGTGTTTTTTTTTGTCGACCAACTCCACTCGTAATGGACTACAAATCGTAAAGATCGATATTATGTCATGATTTGTAATCCTTTATGTCACTTAAAAAACATCTAAAATGTTAGGAAATGAGGTCCAAAGTGCCCATAGCCCTCAACACATTTCAATTCTTGACTAATATACCCGATTGCTGAGACAAAAACCTTCCAAAATTAAATTGGTAATGTGGTTTGTATTCCACTTGTATATTTTGGTCAAATCAGCCACAATATAAGCACTGTTATTAATTACTGTCAATTTTTTGTCATATATTCTCATATCATCTCATCATAATTCCAAAACCTTCTCACCGCAGTTGGTTTCATCTCTTCCGTCGATGCAGTCCAAAATACCATCACATAGTCCGTTACCAGAAACACACACAGAGTGCCCACAGTCAATTTCAGAAATGGTGCACCTCAACGTTTCTGAGTGGATGCAAGAAACAAAAATCAAAACCCAAAGTAATATGAATGTAAAGGCCGTTAATTTACTCTAAAAACAGGTGATGAGATAAAATGGTTTTACTCTGTCAATCAAAATGAGACCAAAACACTTTACTATCCCACAATGTTTAATCACTGCAGCACATTGCTTTCCCCATCGGAACAAAATCCTAAAATTTCGAATATGAAAACACAATCTAAAAATTGTAAAACATGTTTTTACCTTGTTGGATTTGAAATTGCTCTGTTATGAAGTTTTCAGTGTGAACTGACAACTGTATGAAATAAATGTTTGCGTCGACGAAATGTCAAGTGAACATTTGTTTGTCTTTTCCCCCTTTAATTGACATACTTTCATAGGAATTGCTGCCCGAGACGCAGAAAATCACCACCACGACCTAAAGGCGCAGATTAGACCACCGATCTTGCAAGGGTCGCCTTATTGGGTCAGATAACATGTGTGATGGAATTGTTTGCATCGGAGAAATACAACTTTAAGATAAAAAAAATTAGTCGGAAAGGGAAGTCAACAAATGAAAATGACACTTTATTTCTATGGTTTTTTTTTACCATAGTATATCTTGCGCAACTTAAAAAACTAAACTAACGACACAATTCCCGAGCAAGCCAAACAGTGCTTACCAGGACCTCTATAAAGATTGAATCAAGGAACGCCAAAGACAAAGAGTTGACTTGCGAACTAAGGCAGGTGTTACTACATGGAATGTCCGAACACTTTATTCACCCGGGGCTCCTGCCCTACTAAGCGGTACAATATCAGCATGGCTGGAATCAAGGAGCTGAGACCCACTGGACTGGCTCTGTTTACACCACCGGCTTGGCAAACTCTCATAGTTGAATATGCCCCTACCTATTTGCCCGCGGAGTAGGAAAATGAGTAGCATCTTTAAACAGGTCTCTTTCCGATATCCTCGGCTCCATTAGCCGTCACGACATCATTCTCCTGCTCGGTGATTTCAAGACAACCATCTCGTCCGGATCGAGTCTTGTGCCAGCTGGAATGGCTTCATAGACTATGTGTCCCCCCGACCATACCAACTATGATGGGTAGCGCCTCATGGAACTTTGGATCAGTGGTGACAGCAGGACCAGTAATCCATCGCATTGTAATTAATCACCGATGGCTGTCAGCGGTCTGAAAAGCTGCCGCACATATCGCGGGCGGAGCTAGGTGCAACGGACCACCGCCTAGTCTTTACTGGCATCTAGCTCAAGCTGAAAGCCAAGTACCACCCACCCACGGCCGAAATGAAGCTGGACAGCGGCGCCCTGAAGGACCCCCACATTCAAGCTGCCTTTGCTGTGAAAGTTTCCATAACATTCTCGACTCTGGCTCACCATCTTAACTGGAACAGCCTGCCGGGACTTCTTCCAGCATGGCGCCACGCAGACTGCCCAAGTAGCGTGAATATCCGACTTCATGAAGTGTGGACTCATTGGTAGTACTGCGCACGCGTGAGTATGATACTATGCTATTTTTAGGATCGTTTCGGGAGAGTGACCTGTCATGTGTGAGGGATCAACCAATAATAGGGAAATAGGGGTCCGATTTTTATAGGAGTCGGATTTTCAAGTGACACCGTCAAAAGGGATCCGGTGCAGAAGGAAAGCACAGAAACCCTGAATCTCGACACCTATCCAAACTTGGTGGATAAGTGCGGATAAGCTTGTCTGGCTGAAAACCAAGCGAGGTACCGCACCCTCCTGCACAGGCTCTCAGAGGGGTCCGGAGGAATATACTGGCACAGCAAGGCGGACGGGATCGAAGCGGAAACCATCCATAACGATTATGCCACCATGTTAAGGAAGTTGCGTTCAGCCTTGTGAAGTACAGGGATGGCAACCTTCTAGCCGACAAGGGCGAAGGAACACTTGTGCAACTTCTGCGACCCCCATCCCCTCCAGACCTGGATCCTATCTCCAAGGCAGAACTTGCATCCAACAATTCCAGGTGTTGGACTGACCCAGTAACCATTCCCGAGATCCACAAAGCTCTTGCATCACCGGAGAGTGGCAGAGCAACCGGAATCTGCAGCGCACCGCTGCAGACGGCCAGAGCATGCTGGAGTGGTTGCAACTGTGTCTGAATGACGGAACAGATCATGGCCCTTTGGAACAACAAAGGTAACCGCCTCCTCTGCAAAAACCATTGCGGCATCATTCTGCTCTCATCGGTCCCAACAGAAGCTGTTAGCAAAGATCCTGCTACAACGAACAATCAACGATGTGAGGTCTAGGAAGAGTCAGGAACAAGCCGGGTTTATGCCAGGACGTTCAACGATAGATCAGATTTTCTGCATCCGCCATCTGGTAGAAAAGTGCAAAGAGTTCGGTCAAACAGAAGCCCTTGCCTTTGTAGACTCCAAGGCTGCCTTCGAGGTCGTTAACAGGGAGTCTCTCTGGGTATTGCTGAAGATATCCAGTGTGCCCTCAAGCTGCGGCTCCGCAGATTGTTCGAGCTTTTGTTTACTGACAGCGAGACCTGTGTTTGGATTGGGGATGAGGAGTCCAGTCGTTTCCATCTTTCCTCCAGTGTACAAGGATGCGTTATAGCCCAAATCTTTTTAATTGCGTCATCAACCACTTGATGAGGCGTCTCATAGCCAGAGCAGTCCCCTCCTGAGGAATAATGTAAGATGGATGGTCCCTCACGGACCTTTGAGATTCTGGATTCTGAAGCAACAAGAGTCAGAATGCAGATCAGTCGGCAAAGTGCGTCGCCATCCTAACGCCTTCAATATCCAAGGAGAACCAGCTGAGTTTGTGACCTTCCTCGCCTCTCTTGGCTCCATTTTAACATCTGATGGGTCAGTGGAGGCAGAAATCTGTCCAAGAAATGCTAAATGCTTTGAAGCCATTCAAGTTCTATTTTAGAACATTAACTTTAAAATATCTTTAAACCACGTGTACAGAGTACGTGATTTCATTGGCTGATAAATCTTTTCAGCTCAGCACTTAGCTCAGGTTGACTGCACGCGGTGAGTTTTTCGCTTCGCGAGGCGAAAGAAATCAAATAGGATAGATATTTGCCTCCCGGCCTCGCGAGGCAGAAAACTCAAGAAAAAGTCACCACACACACGTGCTGAGCAAACGGCCTCGAATGACCTTTCGCTCAGTACGTAGCTCTCGTGTGCGGCGGGCTTAAAACCACGACTGAAAAAGACGATCGGTGTTGTTCGTGCAAGGTAACAAAGACTTCTTATCCTCATTCAAAACAGTAAAAAAGAAGTATGCCCTTTAACCCTGTACATGAACCCGATATAAACCTTGAATGATGATGCCCCTTTTCATTGCATCTGATGAAGGATATGTTATTACGAGAACTTATGCAACACTTAATTTTGTAGTCAGTCATTTTGGGAGTTCCAATCCCTTGCTCGGAGCGGGCGGGGCTTGGCCCAGACCGTCTATGAACTGGGCGGTAAGGGATCCCATACCTTAATAATTGCTTCACTGCGCACGGTAGAAATCAAATGTAGGCCTACAGGGCTCTGTGCTGGATCTGGTGTCTAATTCTGTCAAGCCAGCTACATATATTTTTGACTTTTCATGATCCTACATTTTTGGCCTTTAGTATTGAATTCTAATTAGTGATAACTTCAAAGCTATGTTAACGCCGAGCACCATATATTTAGCTTTAAAATGAACTATTAAATGTCGCATTTGGTTTTTTTTTTAATTCGGGACCACATCTTCCGAAATCTTGTTGTTGGAAGCCTTATTAATCACAAACGAGATTTGGGTAAACGATGTTCTGAGTGGAAATGTAAAAATATTAATAAAAATTTATGAATTACCATGGAACAAAAATTTAAAATGAATTCCAACAAACACCTTTTTCCATACACACAAAATCTAAAAAAAAAAAAAAAATTAAAAAATGAAAGCCACAAACTAAAGATACCAGCATTTTGTATCAATAAAGACATCAATATGAAGAAACAAAGTTGACGGGTTTTCCCTGGGTAGGCCTAAATTCTTCATATATGACGACAAAAGCTGCACAGTACCATCTGTTATATCATAGGGTATTTGTTTGTTAACAATTTTGTAACAAGTATATCTTTCCCAAGGAGTGGGAAACATAATTATAGATGATGTACTTGCAAAGCATTCTAGTTGATCGTCGCCGCTTCTCCGTTTAACCAAATCCTGAATCATTATTGTGATGAGACTATAATAAAAGGACGCTCGCTAACGAACAGTTCTGTCTTTTATTTGACGACAGTCAGTATAACCTAAAACACTGATCAGGCGTGTTGTACGACAAAATGCATAACCTGTACGACACTGTATACGTGGTTATTACGTCACAAAGCTATTCAAATTGTACAACTGGGTTCACGTTCACATCAGAGTTCAGGTTCATTCTATTAACCGTTTAAATTAAGGTACGTTCACTTTGCATTCATAGTCTGCTACAGATTATTTTACCTTTCGGCTTTTCAGTGTAAGGGGTCGTTGTTATTTCTTTTGTGCAGTGTTTCTGTGAATCATAACAGCCTTTTGTGTGAATGTTGAAAACATGTCAGAACCAAATTTATGTCCCTAAAACCACGAGTAAAAAAGAAGAATGGTGTTATTCATGCAAGGCAACAAAGACTTCTTATCCTCATTCAAATGAGTCAGAAAAGAAGTATGCCCTATTATCCTGGAATATCACAGCTTTCCGGGTTAGGCCTACAGCTTTTAAATCCGGCGCCTGCTTATTTCTCAATCTATTCTATTCTTTCCGGGTATGAACTTGGCATTAGGCCAGCACTCGCATAGGCCATGACTTGGACTAAGATTTCAAACACCAGTCCCTTGAAGTTTTCTTATTGAGCATTCGCAGATCACCTTTCTTGTCTGCACAATATGGGGGTATTCGAAACCCGTTCTCATGATTTGATATCAAGAATAAAATAATAAAACCGTATTTGGCAAGATGTAGTTCACTTATATTATGGCACCATGGTGGTCATTGTGTAAAGTTTTTGATGTAGTGGCAGCCATGAGTTGACATACCAGTAAAAACATACTATGGACACCTAATAATTATGATAAGAGGCAACATTCTATCATCTTCTGGTAATTCCACTGGTTGCTATTTACGACGTACTTCGCGAAAAAAATCTGGCCTTCATTGTCAATAGCTTTCAATTAACACAGAGCCTGATTGGCTGAATTTTGGATTCTTTTTTTTTCTTTTCTATTTCTTTTTTTTTTTTTTTTTTTGCAAATGGTATTCCATACAGGGTCGGCGGTATGGAGCCCAAAATGAAAACTACAGAAAAAAAGACGCCCTTGCGAACTCTACAGTACCTGTGTAGTGCAGCTGTGCGAAACTTCAAGATGGCAGTCGCTATTTTTTCGAATATAATTTTAATACTGGAACAGCTACAATGAAATGTCAAAGACAGGCCAACTATAATGATAACGTACAATTCTGGTTTTTAATCATTACTGCTGCTGCACAGAATGATTGTTTTCGTTTTTATATGTACCAAAAACAAATAACGCGCATTGCGGTAGAAACCTAGGTCCGCCATGTTTGTTTATGACGTTGTTCATCTACTTCCAAAAAGGGGAGTTAAAATCCTGTTCGCGAACACCGTCCACGTGTTGGTTCTCATCATTCAAAGCCTCACTCTCGTGTTCATTCAACATGAGATCGGGGTTCGAATACGCTCCAACGACTGATATGCAGAGCATGCTAACGGTATCCCCGTCGGAAGGCTACGGCAGGGGAATTCGATAATAAAACAAACCTATGTGGCTGAACCAGTTAAAACTTTGTTTTTATTCTTCATTGCAAATCAATATGTTTATAACTTTACTTATAAAACGTAGAAAAAGATGATTACTAAATATTAATTCCATGTTTAGTGTTCATCTTTCCCACATTTTTTTATTTCATATATACTTATGAAATTGAATAAAATTGCTGCAGGTTGCTTGCTGACTCGATTGACCTGAAATAATTATACAAATCAAACAAAATTAGATGGCCTAACGCTTTCATTCTATGTATGTCGAAGGCAAAATAATGTTTTAATAAATAGTTTTTAAAGCTTAGTTAGTTTAAAGAGTGTTTGAGAAATCCCTTTGTAGATACTAGTTTCA